TATATATATATACACCCAACAGTAACAGCTTCTCACAATTTGCTACGGTTGAACGAGATAGTTTCTGCGATTTACGTCCGCCTGGCAAATTTCGCAACGACGGTCGCAACGATCAATTTAAATAGCAAAGAGACAAGGCGAAGGAGATTCGTCATGTACAATGACGTTCGGATATGGAAGTGGCGGCATTCAGATTTTATTGTCGCGGTTATCCCCGCTATTGCGCTCGTAAAGTCAGAGAACTTAAATCTCATTTTTCGCGTACGCAGCGTGACAGGTGATCTGTAAAGGTACAGTTGTAAAGGATTGTTTAGGAGGCGACAAATAGTCGGCGAAACGGAAACTTACAGCGCCTCTGTTCGTCGCCTCTGAAATACGACCGTTATTAACGATACCTCTCGATTGCGGAAATATACAATTCTCGAGTTAAATCTCGTAATTACAAGACTATTATTAAGATATTTCTCGTAAGATATTTGATAAAAAAGTTAAAATAGAAAAGGAAAAAAATAATCGGTAAAAATGGAAATTATATAAGTCGCCACTGAGAGATACGACCGTCATTAGCTTTCAATCACTTTTGATTGCGACAAATTTACAATTCTCTAACTAAATCTCATAATTATACGAAAGAGTATTGCAGGATATCTCATAAGATATTTCGTGAAAAGTCAAAGTAGAGAAAAGAGGAAAATAATTTCGAGACGATTTTAAAAATAAATCTGCGCCTATGCGAATTGCGTCTTGATATCAAGTATGTAAGTCGATATTCATTTATAGATACTTTGCAATTGTCGGTGCGTGTTAGATTAAACCGCTCGCTATCCGCCAATGTTCTTTAATGAAACTTAATTGCTGTGCGCCTCGTTATGAAACGCCATCGCGGCTGTAGTTCGAACAAAGAACGTAGTCCGCCACAAAGTCGTAATCGAACGAGCCTCATAAACGTTCGCGTAGTGCTCTTAACCATTCTCGACAAGCTTGATTAACGTTAGAAAAATGATGAGAGTACGGGGGAAATAATCGGAGCGGGAGAAACACAAGTCGCTTCGCAATGCCTTCGGCACTGATTAATCGCTTTCAAATCGCTTTTTCAAATTTCCTTCTTCTCTAGAACAGCTTCCTTCGCCGTCCGTACAATGTACGGAGGGAAGAAAAGCATCCCATATAACAAAGGAGTTTGTAGAACATTATTGCAACGTTACAATGGTTGCGTTCGGAGAAAGCAGTTAATGTAATCGTTGTAAAATTTTTTAATACGATTGGATCTTTTGCTCTTAGTTTCTATCTCACTGAATCTAAATGTATAAACTGATCATATTAAAGAATTTTACAACAGTTGCAAAGCTGCTTTCTCTGCTGCGCACATATTACTACAATATTGCTGTAATGTTGCTGAAACAATTTGTGCTGTATGGAATACAAGTGACGAGGTGACTTGTACACTAATTTTTATGTCCAAGTAAAAGTGGAAACATTTGAAATTGTAAAATGTAGATTTTACTTAACAGCGCGTTAAAATCTATTGAGGATCTTACGGTTTAATCCTATTTTTAACGTCAAATTGACGTAAAAATGTATTTCATATAAAAGCGGATTAAACCATGAAATCCTCAATACATTTTATGTTGTGCTGTTAAATAAAAAAATTGGCACTTTATAATTCGAAATATTTTCATTTTACTTTTACACACAGATTAAATCGACGTGTGGAAGCTTTAATATTCACTAGTGCATTCGCTAATGCGTCCAACCGAATTCGCTATTTGACTCGGGCGCGAGCGAAAGAGTGCGATTACGTAAAGGGCCAATTAACTCTTGAGCGACCGCTCGTTTTCGTGTCCGCTGCGGGACACAATCGTGATCGATTTATCAAAGCGGCCTCGCGATGACTCGCGCGTTTTCAGACAGGAGATCATTTCCTGCGCGGCGAACGGAAGGAGAAAAGGCGCGGTGCTCTAGTTGCGGGGTTTTTTTCTTTTTTTTTTTTTTTTTTTTCTTTTTCAGCGAGCGGGACGTAACACTTTTATTTTAACAAAACGCAGCCGTCGATATTCCGACGAACAAGCGCCGAATAACGATCGTCAATTTTACCACTTCACGCGTCATACGGTCGACTATACCATTTCTGTTCGCCGTTGTGTAATTCTTCCTCTTTGTCGGGATTTCGTAACGTGCGCCCAAGACGCGAGGAAAGAAAGAACGGTGCCGTTTTTGCTTTTTCAAAAAGGGATTGTAAATATAACATTCGATAAATAAAGGATCTGAACGGGCAAACTGTGAATTTTTTACTTTTTATTGTACTTATAAATTCAATGTGAATTTATATACAATGTATCTGCAATCTTGTAAACTGCGCGCGCCAAATTTAATCATTAATTAAGATCCTTTCTAATTGTAAGATGTCTATGAGCATCTCGATATTATTAAATTGCTTGTCAATTTAATTATTGCTCTAGTACTGTTAAAATGTTGCGTTTCCAGATTAAAAATTCAATTCGGCGCGCAGTTCGCAGGACTGGATGTGAGGGTAGAAATTCACACCGAGTTATTTAAGCACTAAAGATTCAGTTTTATCGTTTGGAGCCTTTATTTTCTGTTTACTGTGTACTTACATTACAGTACTTACAAGACACATTTATTTATTGTGAAATAATATTGATCTAACAGGTAGCGTTTATACGCTTGAAAGTCTTGTAACTATTCCGGATCTCGAGAGAGATATTTCTCGCGATACGGGGATTGTTTAACAATAAATACACTTATGCCCGTCTTTCTGTCACAGATTGGTTAACTTTGCGCTCAGTTTATACAAGTTGCTCCTCGTCCTCTTTCTTTTTTGGTAATTCTTTGAATTGGAAAATACCGAAGAGTTAGTTAGAATCGAGATGAAAATAAATTGGCAGAAACAGGCTTTAGACAATATCCTAGAGGCAAACTCCTCCGGGCCTTGACCGCACGGCTCTCACTTTCGTTCTGCTGTGAATTTAATTGCACCTCCGCCTTCCTCGCCCCCGAACCGATCGACGATCGGAGAACGATAACGCGGCCCGCGAGTATTTACGTAAGAACAGCAAGTGCCCGTAAGTATGGCGTGGGAGTCGACCAGTTCGCATGCAACCGGCAGCAGCGTTTCCTCGACTTTCTAAGTTCCGATACCTCGTTGACCATCACCGTTGTCTGCTGTGCGTGACTTAACGTGGCGATATGATCGAGGAGAGTTTTACCGAGTAGTTTTCCAACAATCTCACCGAGCTCATCTCGAATCGGCCACTTTCTAGGAATCCCCCCCTCCCCCCCCCGTGTCGCGAAAAATATCTTTGAACATCTAAAACAGCATTTATCCTTTACAATCATGAAAGAACGCAAACGTGCCGACGTCTCGACTTTCAATCGTGCATTGATCCCATTGCTGTCCGCGCACGATTACGAATACTAATTAATAGTGAAATCGTTTCAGCACACATCATCGATTTCGCCTTCTTACAACTCTATTCCTTTATTTATAAGCGGACTCCTTTGTTTTATTGTAAGATGTAATGTATCGTGATGTATTACGCGGCGTCATAAATTTTTCATCGCGAGCAGAACAATGTAAAGGTTAATTAAAAACTTGCCGGTATAATATCCAATACGGCAGTATTCTCTCAGTAAGAAATTCAACGAATAATTAATTTCATAATAAATATTTATAATGGATTATTATGTGTGTAATTGTAGTGATATCGCGCATATATATAATATATAATTGTAATATCTTAAATATATATATTTACAATAGCTATATATATGTAAAATGCACGCATTTCATTTTTATACTTTCAAAGCATAGAAATATTTCTTCTCAAGTATCTGTCTAATTCTTTATAAATCACGCTACTTCTTAAGGATGCATTATACTTGTTATTTAGTAAAATGAAAAAATTTCGAAAAATTTACAGATTTTTCTATATTCTATAATATTTGAAGTAACACACAAATTGTTAAATTTGGCGACGATTCAAAACTTAGATAAAACATTATTTTAATAAGAAGTAGATGTTAAAAAAAAAAAAAAAATTAAGATAAAACGAGAAACTTTTTATGTTACTATAAAATTGTATTGTTAAGTATAATTACTTGTTGTTGTGTTTCATATATGTAAGTATATAACATTGATATTTTTCTACGAAAGATATCAATTTCAGTAACTTTTAATAGAGATAGGTACATCCTTAAGTATTTAAATTCTTCTTATTGTTAAAACATTTTTCGCGCGGATATAACTGCATCGGCTACTATTTATGAATCCCTCTTTGCATTCAAATTATTCGTTCCAGTCTCGTATCGCGTACGCACGGAGGCTGCGACAATAAATTTTCCTCGTCCTACTTCGCCGCCGTTTCGTCTTCATTCGCTCACGAGATCT